GGGGTCAGGGTGGAGGGCTAACAGGAAACAGGCTGAGCTACTGAACAGAGAGGCCACCACCATCCCACCTGTGCACACTTCACTCAAGTCCATCAAAGGTGTGTGTCCTGGAAGGAGAGATGGGGTGGGAGCTCCAGAGCTGGAGAACACAGAAAGCCAGGTCTGCAGGAACATGGTGGAGGGATAATAAGACCCAGAGACAGCCGGGCGGTGGTGGCGCACGCCTTTAATCCCAGCACTTGGGAGGCAGAGGTAGGCGGATTTCTGAGTTCGAGGCCAGCCTGGTCTACAGAGTGAGTTCCAGGATAGCCAGGGCTATACAGAGAAACCCTGTCTCGAAAAAAAACAAAACAAAACAAACACACACAAAAAAAACAAAAACAACAACAACAAAAGACCCAGAGACAACATAGGACTAGCCTAAGACCACACAGCAGCCCAGGGACAGATGAGCCAGTCTTAATCAGGCTTTGGTCTCCAACATTAAGATACCTGGACACCAAGTTTATGTTCATTAGTTCTGTTTCACAAGTGAAGGGAAACTGACTGAAGATTACCAAACTGACAGCAGTGGAGACAAACAGACCCAGGAATCATCCAAGACCTGGTACTGAGCTCTTGTGGACACCCCTCCTGGTGGAACTTCAGCTCCCTTATAGGGTGAGGGCACCCACATCAAGCCAAGTGGCTTGTGCAAGGTGGGTGGGGTCTCTGGCTTGTTCGGTTTCCAAGGTCAGGTCTGTCTCCCTGGGGTTGTGTCCTCCGTTACTATTATCAAACTTGACGGGGGAGGAGTCACAGCCTGTGTCCCAAGTCAGATCTGGCCACTCATCCTCAACAAGACAACTAAAAGAGCCAGATTAAAAGTAGAAATCGGAAAAGAAAAAGTATTCAATGTGGCACAGTGACAGAGTTCCAGCAAACCTCAAGTCTTCAAGGTCTTGAAGTGAGATCAAAGTGTAAACTGAGAGCCAAGGATAAGCACATCCAAGCAGTGCAGACAAGGTGTGGTCCTGCTTTCCTGCTTCCTGTGGACCTGCCAGTCATTGTCTGGGCTTCAGTCTCATCCTACAGTGTCTGACAGCTTGTTACCTGGGTGAGACCTCTTTCGGCTGTCAAGTTCCTTGTGGCTAGTGTCTTTCCCTTCTCCCAGCAGGCAATTCCTGGGGAAATTCCTACTTCCTCATGGTTGTTTCAACATGATTGTTTCAACAGTCTGCCAGATGGAGAGCCACAACGATGTCTTTAGAATATCTTTATTTCTTCCCAGGATGGTCACAGTAGCACAGCAAAGGGTCAAAGTGTCCACAATCTGGAGGTACCTCCATGGAGACCTCCTAGTCATGGGGACTAGGGGGCAGAGCTTAGGACCGGGAACGGAACAACAGCCATGTTGTCACTGTCCTTGGGACCAGTGCAGGGTCCCTGATCCCTGTTCACTTCTGGCCCACCATTGCACAGTTAGCAGAGGGGTTCATAGCTTCATTTCCCAGATCTTATGGAGCAGCGAAGTGACCGGGTGCTGAGTGGCCCAGTCAACCAGCCAACTGCAGGGGCATCAGAGTGGGGGGAGGGGGAGCGAAAGGCCACAAGCTGCAAGGTCCTGGTGTGTGACACTCTGTGGCAAAGGCAAAAAAGCACAGGGACCAAAAACTGGTCAGGTAGGTGGGGAAGGGGTTGAAAGAAGCGTCAGGTGGACGTTGTTTTAGACGGAGGAGTGGTGGAGGTGGTGGTTCAGCGGCTTGTGGAATGCCTACTCAAAGGAGCTCTTACTGTATATAAACCGCCTTTAAATTTTGTTAAATGAGAACAAACAGCAACCATGTAAATCCATAGGACTGTATTTTACTATTCTGTATATATATATATGTGCTTGAAATCATGAATAACCTGCCCTGCAGAGGACTTGCCCCGCCCCGCCCCGCCCCGCCCCCTCCCCCTATCCCACCCCTGCCACTCGGTGTGAGAGGCCCTTGCCCTGCTGACTTCATGGCAGTCAGCAGCTTCCCACCAGCGCTCTTAAACTTAACCCAGTGCCTTTGCTTTAGCTCTTCTCTCTGCCGGACTGTTCTCCCCTCTCCCTCTACCACCCAACTCGTTCACCCCTTTACTTCCTTTGAGTCTTCCTTAAAAAGACTCCATCTCAGCTAAAGCCTGGTGTGGACACCCTATCTGAGAGCAAATTGCCTCCAGGAACACATGATCCCAGAAGCAGCTGGATCTGGGAGGATTTGCCCCATCTGACCTCTGCATCCTTCAGATGCACTTCTGTGGAGCGATACCACAGGCACGGGGCGCTTCCTCTGCTTTGCTCATGTGTGTCTCCACAGGAGATGCTCAATACATACCCAGTGGACTCGAGGGCACCCAAATAAGTCAGATCCACTCGCTGGTCCATCCTCTGTTCCTCGTGAGACTCAAGCAGGCACAGCCGTTTGGAAGCTTCCAGTACTGAGTCACTCAGTGACTCTAGCAAATGTTTTCATTGCTCGCATTGTTCTTTTGTTTGTCAGAAAGGACTTTATGTATTTAGTTTGGGTGGGCAGGGTTTCGTATAGCTGAAGCTGAGGATGTAGCTGAGAAATGCCTTGAGTTCCTACCTTGACCTCCCAAGTCCTCGGATTACAGACCAGTACCATCCTTGGCTTCCAGAAGGGATTTCTGTAGGGCTTACAGACCCCAGTAAGTAAAGAGACATAAGCAGAGAAGAAAGAGTCAAAGAAAAGAGAGTCTGGATTGTGCTTGACCAGTGGTTCTCAACCTTCCTAAGGCTTCCACCCTTAATACAGCTCCTCATGTTCTAGTGACCCCCCATAAAGTTATTTTCATTGCTACTTCATAACTGTAATTTTGTTAGTTATTAATTGTAATATAAATATCCATTTTTCAATGGTCTTAGACAACCACTGTGAAAGGGTAGTTTGAGGGTCACAACCTGATTGAGAACTGGCTTATCAGACCAGACTCTCCCCTGGTCCAGACTGGCTGGTCAGATGCCACATCTGTAGACATAAATGCACAGGACTTCCCCAGGAAGTGGTACTTGGGCAGTTATGCCCAGTAGCCTGCAGATGAGTGACCTGTTCAGACACTGTCCAGGAACATATTTTGACCTTCTCCACTTACATGCTTTAGAAGCGAAGTCACCTGAGACTCACAGGTTTTATCTTCCTAGTTCACAATTGCCTCCAGCCCCGACTCAGACAAGCTCACAGCCCTCTCTGATTGGTGGAGCCCTTTCAGTCACTTTGCATATAATGACCCACCTCGGCCTTCCTTTGTTTACAAATGCTGAGATACATCACACACTTTTTAAGAAAAGGAAATTATTTGCTCAGCAAAGATTCTCTCAATAGTATGTCTGACCCCTAACCAAGCAATAAAAATAACTGGAAGAAGTCAAATGAAAAATTTGTGGGGGAAAAAAAAAAACCCAGAGGAAAGTGTTCATTAAATGGATATGTAAATGGCCTGGCAGCTTGGGAAAAGGTTCAAGAGCCAGTCACTGCCACTAATGACAAAATGCCCACTGCAACCTACAGGACTCTCTGTAGCAATGTAAGGTTGTACATTTGGAAAAGGACCTTGCAGTTTTTCACAAAACTAAATATACACCAGCTGTATATTCAGCAGTATATTCCTGGGAGCTACCCCAGGGGAATGCTAGCCAGAGGACATCCACGGCAAGTTACTCATCGCAGCTGCAAACCAAAACAATACAACAACCCATTAACACGTGATGGAAAACTGGTACATGCTCACTGGGAAATCTCTGACACAGCGATGAGCATGATAGACAGCAGCAACATGGCTGATGGCAGGTGGAAGCAAAGAAACTAGATATGAAAAGGTGAACATTGTTTAGTTCTTAAGAAATAGGATGTTCTTAGGAAAAGCTGTTTAGTCAATAGTGCTAAAAGTCAAGGAGCACAGCTATGTTAAAAGGAAGGGAGCCCACAAAAATCTCCATTTAGGTATAAAATGCTTCCTGGTTGGTCTGTCCTGCGCCTCTCCCCCACCCCCACCCCGTCTCTCTCTCTCTCACACACACACACATTTTGTACAGGTTTGAACTTACAGCCTTCAAGCATTCCACTGAGTTACACTCAAACTTTCTGTATGTCTATTTGTGTGGTCGTCTCATAGATGCGGACATCAAATTTGTACCTTAATTAACAGGATGTGATTCAGCCGGGCGGTGGTGGCGCACGCCTTTAATCCCAGCACTTGGGAGGCAGAGGCAGGCGGATTTCTGAGTTCGAGGCCAGCCTAGTCTACAGAGTGAGTTCCAGGACAGCCAGGGCTACACAGAGAAACCCCTGTCTTGAAACTCCCCCCCCCCCAAAAAAAAAACCAGGATGTGATTCTATGAACATACATAGTAGCCAGGCTTTCCAAATACTATGCTTTAAGGAAAACACTGGTTCCCGGTAGCTACCTCCCAAGGGACCTCGTATTTCTGCCTTTCTTTAGGCGGGGTGGCTTTTCACCCATTCCCAAACATGCCTGAGGGTAATCTCTAAATATCAGCTACAGCAGCCCAGAGCGGACAGGCTGCATAGCGCCAGCCCGCACGGTTCCAGCTGAGAGTAGGTATGCCTGTCGTCGATGCCTTGCATCGGTAAAAGGGGTCTGACGTATTTATGCCCCAGGCTTGCAGTGAGGCCAATGCCTAATATTCGATGGCTGTCGCGGGGAAGATCAGAATTGCCACACAGGTCATTGCGTGTTTTTCAGATGGGTCCGTGTGAGTCCTAATGATCATTCTGGGGCATTCCGGAGGACAGTCGGCACCCTTGATGGGCCAGCACATCATTGTTGAGGCCCGGAGCGAAACGCGCAGCGCGGTCTCTTTAAGAGACCCCAGGAATGTATCCAAACAGACGGTGCGCGCAGCGCACGTGACTCACAGCTGATTTCCGGCCCCGCCCCCTTCTCCGGCCCGCGCCGCCGAAGAGTCAGTTCGCTGCGGCCCGCGGTCCCCAGTCTCAGCGCGCGCGATGGCGCACGCTACACCGCCGAGCGCGCTGGAGCAGGGCGGCCCCATCCGCGTGGAGCACGACCGCCAACGCCGCCAGTTCTCCGTGCGCCTCAACGGTACCGCGCTGCCTTTGTTTGCGCGCGCGCGGGCGGGACGGGGCGGGACCTGCGGGCGGACGGATCCCGGGGCGGGAGGGCTCCCGAACCCCGACTGGCACCGCCGGAGCGCGCCGGCCCAGGCAGCCCGCACCTGCTAGCGCAGCCGTCCTCCGGCATCGCGGACGGAGGGCTGCCACCCTGGATCCCAGAGAGCAGGTCGCTGGTGGCCTGCCACCCCCCACCCCCACCCCTGGGTGTTCGGTTGCTTCCTGCCGCCCTGGAGGAGCCTTCGCGGGCCTGGGGCATAACCCAGGGAATGTGTGGCCTGGAGGAGGAGGCGGGTAGGTGGTTCGGAGACTTTGGCCAACTTGTCTAGTCGATATGTGCCTCGTTCTCCCTGAATCTGCAGTGGGGTAGCTGTAGTGCACACCGCTTTGGATGAAATGCAGTGGCAGTTAAGGGTTCAGAATGACACATTTGGTGCACAGCAAGTGCTGATAACCATAGATAAATGGTTACTTTTCAGACCAGATAGAGAGGTCAAGGCCTTATCTTCTGTAGCGTTTGTACCAGCGACTGACACTCCTCCTGTTGATCCTAGGGGCTGGAAAAGATTGTAGAATATGGGACCTTGAGCTCTCTGTAACCCACTCCCAGCTGGGCCCCCTGGAGACCGACCTAGCCACTGTGCTTATTTTGATTGGAGGGATGCACTTGTGTGAGGTTGGCCAGTAGTTTGTAAGCAGTCAAGTGTAAGCCTATCCTGACTTCCTGAGCCAACCTTCTGTGACCTGCACTTGGTCACAAGCAGAGGAGGCCTAGTCTCCCATTTGTGCCACCTAACCACCGTGGAGGCAGCTGTTACTTCCTGTGTTGTGACATACCGCCCCACTTACAGATGAGTAAACTGAGGCTGAGACTGCAGGAAGTGTGACCTGCCCAGCCTTTACAAGACCAGAGTCATATTCAAATCTGGGCCCAGCTGCCCCTTGCCATATTCTTGCCATAGAGAAACAAGTCCTGTTGTCATGCTAATGGTAGCTCAGCTGACAGTGACACTTGGCCCTGATCACTTGCGAGGCCTTATCTGAGGCTTTTTTCAGATCCTCTTTTTTGAAGTTGTCTTAGTTCCAGGGAGGCTCTGCTTCTCCAGGTGACTGTGGAGGCGCACCAGATCCACAAATAGAAAGGCAGAACCCTTGGGCTACTTTTTTCTTTCTTTCTCTTCCAAATGGGTCTGTCCAGTCAAAAGGGCAGTACACTGAGAGCTGGCAGTGAACAGACCGTATCCTTTAATTTAACTCGTTCTGCAGCCTGCCGCCTGTTGATAGGGAGACCGTGGCTAGAGGCGAGCAGCCTCTCCTCAGCTCCTCCTGCACAGCCTGGGCCAACAGTTAACTGAGTACCCACTGTTTACTAGCAGTCTTCAGAATGCCCAGGACTATTGAGGCTGGCAGTCTAAAGAGGGAGATGGGTCTCAAATGAATTGCATAACATCTCATAAAACAAAGGCCTTGGGAGAAGTGAGGCTGCACAGAAATAGTGTATATTGGTGCAGAGCCGCTGTTTGGCATTAAGTTCCAAGCAGGTGGTATTTAAGAAGAGACCTGAAAGAGACAAGAAACAACTGTAGCTGTGGAGAAAGGCACCAAGGGAAAGAAGCCTTTGAGAGCAAAGGCCCTGCAGTACCCATTGTGTGTTTCAAAGCAGCCAGGAGTGGTTCAAGCATAGAGGAGTGACAGGTAGAAGGCTGGGAGATTGGGAGGCGGGGCTGAATAATATAGGACCTGGAAATGTGAGCTTGGATGTGGCTTTGACCCTCAGCGCTCTGGGTTCCTGAAAATGCCTGGGAAAGAGGACAGATGCCATGGACCAGGAACCCTAAGGCTGTGCTGATGGAGAGCTGGGTACTGCACAAGTCCAAGCAGTGTGAGCAGGGATGGGAAGAAATGTCTAAGTCCTGAGCAGGTGTGACAGGAAACACGGAGGGAGTTTATTGATGAGGAGGAGACTGGAACGCAAGTGTACATGACCCCAGATTGAAGCTCTGAAAATGCTGGGCGTGTAGCCACTGTTTCATGGATGGGAGACCCAGGCACAAGTCTGATGGACAACTAGTCCAGAATGGAACCTCAGGTTGCCTTCTGAGAGTTGTTGTCATCTGAAGGTTGGAAGACGTTAGACAAGACCCACGCCTGCAGCCCCTTCCATGGCCTTCTTGTACTTCCCTCAGCCAGGGTATCAGCCACTCAGGGTTTGTGTGTATGCGTTTAAAGATCTGTTTTTATTTTTTTGTGTGTGTGCTTGTGTGTCTATACAGACAACATGCATTCCAGTGCCTGTCTGTAGAGGTCAAATGAGGACATCAGATTGGGCAGCTGGAGTTACAGACAGGTGTGAGCTGTCAGATGTGGGTTCTAGGAACTGAAGTGGGGTCCTCTGTTAAAGCAGAAAGCCCTCCTTTTTGTTTGTTTTGTTTTGTTTTTCAAGACAGGGTTTCTCTGTGTAGTCCTGGCTGTCCTGGAACTCACTCTGAAGAACAGGCTGGCCTTGAGCTCAAAAATCCACTTGCCTCTGCCTCCCAAGTGCTGGGATTAAAGGCATGCACCACCACTGCCTGGCTACAGAAAGCCTTCTTAACTGCTGAGCCAGCTCTCTAGGCTCTAGGATTGCTACTTGTTGCAAGAAGGCTCACTCCAATCCCTCCCAGAATTCTCTGTACCCCCAAGTAGGAAGACAGAACCAGAACTGAGCCCAGCTGGTTCCTCCAGTTCCTAGATGTCCAGCACTGCCCCCAATATGTTTGTCTAGGTCTGGGGCACTCAGAGCCTAGCCTAGGTTGCCACTAATCCAGGTGGCAGTGACTACTCATCTGCAGCACAGGTGTTGGGGGTCATTATAGCTGGCAGTGCCATGTGTGTATTCTGTCCATGGTGGAGGATGGTCAGGGGAAGAAGCCTCTGAGGGAAAACCTGGAATAAGAAGGTGATGTCCAACTGGGAGGCCCTGGGTATAGATGTAGCAAGTGGAAAGATCATCGGGCAGCTAATCAAACTCTTAGTGGCTGCCATAGGGAGAGGCTGCATTTGGGTTGTGGCTGGAGCCTGCTGCCATTATCTGAAAGCAGGCCCATGGACCTCTGCAGGCCTAAGCAAACACCTGCTGGGGACTTGGCTGTTCTCTGGGGATTTCCCCAAAGGCACAGAGACCGGGGGTGGGGGGGCAGGCCTTGGGGTTGCCATGTGCCACTGGTCCACCTCCAGTCCCAGCAGGCATCTGGTAGGAAGAAGTAGGTTTTTGAGAGATATATCCTGGGTATCTACCCTGGATAGGTTTATGAGGACAAGATGGTGACTGGTCCTGACAACTAGACACCAAAGGCCCAGGCAGAGAATCACTGTGATATCCCAGGGCTGCCCATAGGCTTAGGCTCCGTGGAGTTGAGAACAAGAAGAGACTGAAGACATTAGCAAGTTTGCAAGAGCTCAGGCACTCACCCAAGGCTGCTGGGAGCTTAAGCTGGTCTTTGGGTGGCCCTAGGATCCCCATCACCTGGTTCCCTACACTGCCTGATTCACTAGGGCCAGCAACTCTGGCTTCCATGCTGTTCTGGGCTTCTAAGGATTTTGTTTCTTCTGCTCTTACCACTTGGAGTCCTCACACCAAAGTGTCCTGGTCCCTCGTTCCCTCAGGTATTTTGCACAAGAACCAGATGTCTTCTTTATAATGATAGCTCTCGCCCCTGCTTCCTACCCCTTCTCTGCTCTCTGAGCCCATCTCCTGAGACTCATGTCATTTGTGTCTCCCTTACTAAAACGTGAAGGAGTGCTGTGTCCATTCTGTTCATTCCAAACACAGCCAGAACATAGTGGGCAGTCAGTGTCTTAGTTGGCCCCAACAAGTACAGAACCAGACTTGGGTCCCATGTCTTGAAGCTGTAGGGGGTGACTGTGGAGGTCACAGCTGGGCCTTGGGCACAGCCCCAGAATAACTCAATCTAAGGAATGAGTTTCAGCACAGGGTGAGGCCATGGCCTTTGTAGATCTGGCTGAGAAGGGAGATGGCATTCTAGGTCTGGAGGTGGGAAGAAGAGGGCATAGTCCATAAACAAAGCGCTCTGGCTGGCTGTGGTGAAGCATGTCCATAATTGCAGCACTCTGGGTTCTAGTCCTGCTTGGGCTCCATAGTGAGACCCTGTCTCAGGAGAAGAAAAGGAGCCAAGACACATAGCTCAAAGAGGGGAGGTATGGGTCGCACTCTGCCTCCAGCCCCTGTGTGACTGCATGACTCTGATCTCAGGAGTCTACCTGTGGAAATGACATGAGTCAGTCTCCCTCCTGGGACTTACAAGAGACTTGAACACTGAAGACAGAACCCTCGAAGGTCCTGGAGTGGGTATGGAAGGTGATCCTCTCCTGAACCTGTTGTTCCCTGTGACAACGCCTGGTCCAGGCAGGGGAAGGACCCGTGCAGCATTTAGGAGCTGATTCTGTGTCACATGAAAGTTTGAACATGTAAAACGCAGCTTGTTTAAAAGTTAAAATATGTGAGGTACATAGATCATCTAGCCCAGCAGTGGTGGCATACACCTTTGATCCTAGCACTCTGGAGGAAGAGACAGGCAGATCTCTGTGAGTTCAAGGTTACCCTGATCTATAGAATGAATTTCAGGACAGCCAGGGCTACACAGAGAAACCCTGTCTGGAAAAAAAAAAAACAAAGAAAAAAGAAAAGAAAGAAGAGCATTCAAGCCCAGCTCTGGGGCTGGAGAGATGGCTCAGTGGTTAAGAGCACTGACTGCTCTTCCAGAGGTCCTGAGTTCAATTCCCAGCAACCACATGGTGGCTCACAACCATCTGTAATGGAATCCAGTGCCCTCTTTTGGTGTGTCTGAAGACACCTACAGTGTACTCATATAAATTTAAATAAATAAACAAACAAACCAAGCCCAACTCTAGTAAGTTCTAGGCCAGCCTAGGCTCCCTGAGACCCTGTCTAAAAAAAGACAAGACAGACAGGCGTTGACATGTTTTATTCTATTGCTAGGGAACCCTGTGATCCCATCTGGCCTCTCCTGCCTTGCCTGCACTTGTTCTTCTTTGTTCTTCCCTTGTCTGTGTCCTTCCCAGCCAATGGGCTTTGTCCTGGAGCTCTCTGGCAACTGCTGCCATAATGACTCTCCCTCTCCCCTTGCCGGCTTGAGCATTTCTTTCATACCAAGGCAATCCCTTCAAATAAAAAATGTTAGGTTTGCCTTTGGCCTCTTTCTCATTGAGCACACCCCAACTACCAGCAAGTCCTCCAAACGGGACCCCGTTAGAGCAGTTGGCACTTCCAGTTACCTTCTCACCCTCTGCTGAGGACTTAGGTCATGACAACTAAGAAGCTACAACACTTACCATGTCCCTTCCCCATCCCTTGGTCCACTCTAGCCATACCAGCATCCTCGCTGCTGGATAAAGTTCCTAGCCTGAGCCTTTGCACAGGTGTTCTGGCTAGAGCATCTCCCTGATCCAGCATCCCTCATAACCATTTCCCTTCTACTGAATATTACGGACTACTCGCTTCTCCTGTTTCTCTTAGCCATGAGGGCAGATCCTTGTCCCTTGCTGTATGCCCAGCACCTCAAAAGTGTTTGTGACTCAGTAAATATTGACTAGATGGGTAGACAGACAGACAGACAGAACTACAGATTGTGATTGGAGCAACTTCCCCAGTCACATTGCCAGCAGGATTTTTGGTAGACTGGTAAACTCTCGTCCTGATAAGACTGGGAAGGTGGGTACCTATTTGTTCCTGCTTCCTGTGCCTAGTGAACTCTGGTTTAGCTTGGGTCTTGGTTGGGAGATTGGCAAGCCTTACGTTCTAACTGATACCACCTCCTGTTTCCTCCTCCTCCACTGAAGTCAAGGATGTGACGGGCTCTGTCATGTCCTGTGCTGGACCTTAGAAAGGGGGTTTAGCTGAGGGGAATGACAGTAGCAAGGACTTGTGGGTAGTAGAGTGTCGTTGGCACCAGCCTGTTGCAGAGAGTGCCCCGTTGAACACTACACACAGCCCTCTGAGGAATGCCATCATGTCCCTACTCTGGGACATAAGGAAGCTCCAAGGGCCCCTGGAGTCCACACTTCAGCTGTTTCTGTCTCTGCTCCAGGATGTCATGACCGGGCTGTCCTGCTCTATGAGTATGTGGGCAAGCGGATCGTGGACCTGCAACACACAGAGGTCCCAGATGCTTACCGTGGGCGTGGCATTGCCAAGCACCTGGCCAAGGTAGGATGGGCAGCAGACCAGGACACAGCTATCACCCTCCCCTTACAGAGAAGATAGACTGTTGGTTAGCTCTGATTTGCTTCTAGACCACAGCATAGCTTCACAGGCCCATCTGGCCACGAGTTTGCAGGTGGCAGTGGAAGACCTTTGGATACTGCCTATGGTGCTCCTAGGCCCTCTGTGGCAGGCAGCCACTCTTCTGAGCATAGGAGCCCCACAGCCTGACTCCACCTTGGGACTAGGACTTGGCGTGCAGTACTTGTTTAGGTAGCCCTGGTGATGCACAGTAGATGAGTGTCCAAGTTAGTGGCCTCATGCCCTGGTCCTCTGTCCCCACCTGCCTCTCCCAAGCACTTCAGAATTCCAGGATGCCTGAGGACCAAGTACAGGTGAAGCAAAGAATGATTTTCAGGTGCAACCCTCACCCCTGGGCTCACAGAAGAGCCCTATACTGGTTTCCCAATCCTGTCTCTCTCCCTTACTCCCTGTTCCTGGCTCTCCTAGATAGGCCTCTTTACCCTCCCTGTGGGGCTTCTGGGCCTCATGCTCTGCCATACAGGACCTGGCCTATCTGTGCATTAACTCAGTTACCAGGGAGGGAACTAAAGACGCTGGCCTAGGCAAAGTGGAAAGGGTAGCCACATGGAGAACCTGGAGCAGTAACAGAGCTGGTGACTACCAATTTTCTTGAGCTACAGTGGGCCACAGTCCCCAAGCAAGGTGCTCCTCTAACAGCTGTTCTCCCTCTGCTGACCCAGGCCGCCCTGGACTTCGTGGTGGAGGAAGACCTGAGGGCCCACCTCACCTGCTGGTACATCCAGAAGTATGTAAAGGAGAACCCCCTGCCACAGTACCTGGAGCGCCTACAGCCATGACCCTGGCCACTGTGTGCAGGAGTGCACCCTGTGGGCCTTCTGTGTGGGCCTCAGCCAGCGCATGTGCTCTCAAGAGCCTGTTCCCATGGGGACGGGCTCAGAGTTATTTTTGCAAGGACAGTCGTCTGCAGCCTTCATCCAGGATTATGGGGACCAGCTGCTGGCTGTGGATGTGTGAAAATCCAGAGTGGGATGAAGGGCAGGCCAAGTGGCCAAGCCCCCTTCCCACAGAGATCCTCCAGCCCTGCTGAGGTCCTCCTCCTACCAGCTGCACATCCCCTCTGGCCTGGCTCCTGGGTCCCTGCTCTGATCAACAAGAGGGTGACATAGAGTCCCTGTCACCACCTCCCGGTGTTGTGTCCTTCCTGCAAATGAGGAGGGTGTTCCTGGAGCCAAGAAGAACAACAGGAACCCCGTGTGCCAGCGTCCCAAGGTGGAGGTGCCAAGCCTTAGCCACTGCCAGTGCTAAGCCTTTCTCTGTCTCAGACTCCGTGCCATGGCACAGGCAGCAGGACGGCGGCAGGGGCAGCCACTCCTGGCGTGTGAGAGCAGCGGATTCAGCTCTGGCTCAGGCCCATCTGTGAGTGTGCACACCAGCACATGAGCACAAGAGAGAGGGCAGGTGATAGGGGACACCCTCCTCTCCTTGGTACCCACACTGTTTGGCTTCTTATGTGGTTTCTGGAAGAAAACAAGGTCCCTATCAGAGGATCTGCCTTCCCATGTATTCACCTGCAGGAGTCAACTCAGAGGCTTAGTGGTGGTCTACTGAGCAGTCCAGTACCCTCAGCCCTCTGGCCTTCAGCTGCACTTCCCAGGGCCTTTCTGGTGGGTCACCTTTGAGATGGATGAGATGGTGGTACACAAAATCTATTTTGTATCTTTTCTTGTACTCCTGGCTTCTGGCCATCTCCCCACTACTACTTAGGCTGCTCCAGACACCTGTGCACAGACACCTCCCCACTCTGCAGGAGTACTGAGATCTGGACCAGGAAGCCATGCATCCTAGCTGGGAGGTCTTACGCTCAGAACCTTTGGGCCTCACTCACCACTGCAGTCATGGGCATGGACCCTTATGGTCTCCACCTCTCCCTACCTCCTGCACCTCTGGCTCTTACCCTGTTCTTGATGCTCCTTTCCAGCCTCCTAGAGTTGCAGAAAAACCCAGCATACTACTCACTACTGCCTCCCTCCTCTGCCACTCCATTCTGTCTGACAGGGACTCTTCAGGGTCCAGAGAAACCCCTGGGCCTCTAGGGAGACATTCCTGACTGCTCTGACAGCTGTGGTGGCAGTGTGTCCACAATACAGTACTTGAATGACCCAAGAAGAGTGGCTGGGCTTCCTCCGTGGGCTTGTCTCAAGTTCCTGCAGTGTAGCCTGAGCATTCCTCACTGCCTTGGCAGCCTTAAAGTCCCACTGACCGTGCCCCGGAGGCTTCACAGCCTTTCGGTGTAGCAATAACTATATCTCTGCCTCTTCCTCCTGGCCAATACTGCCCAACTGGGCCCCTCTGGTGCTATCCCATCTGCCTCCCCTGCTCCCCAACACCTGTTCCATGTTCTGAATCACTCCAGGAGCCTGTGGTTAGGCACTGGCCACTCTAGACTTCATGTTCCTTCAGTAGGTCTGTGCTGTGCTCAGATCTCACCCTAGGGTTTCTTTTCCTTGCCCAGTCTACACAGGCAGTAACTCATGTGCCTTTCCTACTCTGAACCTGCCACCAGTAGTATCTGGGCCAAGGCTAGTCTTGGGACCTGCATTCCCTCACTTTTCTGACTTTTGAACACATTGCATGATCCCATTCGTCACTGACAAAAGACTAAGGCACAGCAAGGTCAGGGGGCCCCAGAGTGAAGAAATAGGGCAAGACAGTTTGTGTAGGAAGGGGTCCTCCTTGGTGCCCAACCTATTTCTTGATCCTCAGCACTGCCTGCAGAGTGGGACAGCTCCACTTCAGGGGAGCCTAGGCTTCAAAGGCTGCCATGGCCTGGCAGGTGTCCCAGCTCAACAGTGCCAATCAGCATCAGGATCCCAGCCCAGGTCTGGAGAACTTTGCCATCTGTATCCCCACTCCACAGTTACCTGAACCTCATAGTTTTATCCTAGAGACCACACTCCTCATTGCTGGGCCACAGCTTTACAGAGATTCCTAGAGGAGGTCATGGTGCCACACTAGCCTCTTGACACGTGGGCTGCTCTTTGCCCTGAAGTTAGTCATTTGGGGGTTCCTGACAGAGCTATTGGTAAACACAGGAGCACAGAGAATCTGCTCATGCAGCCCCTCTCACACGGGACCTAACCCTCGAGGTAGCTAGTGTAAGAAGTGTAAGGCACAGCAGTCTGAGGCTCTGTGGTCTCACCCCCACCTTCTTATCATGCAATTCCCAAGAGACACCGCTTACTGGGCCTGTCCTGCCATTGAAGGGACCAGGTCAGAATAAGAGGGTCACCAACCTGCAACCCATACACCTAGACAGCACAGCATCTAAAACCAGTCCCTGACCCTTAGATAGTTCCCAGTTTATGTATTGTGGTCATACTTTGGGAAACAAATGACCTCAGTAATACATAGATAAAATTTCTAGAAATTCCCTTATTCCTTTGAAGGGCTGAAATGGGCTCTATCTTGAGTTGCAAGGTACATAGCCAGCATCTAGAAGTCTGGCTTATGAACAGGAACACTCCCCTGGAGCACCTGGCCACTCCCCCATTGTTCCTCAGATCAGGACTTGGGCTGGTTCGAGTCCTCCCACACGTCCTTTTTCTAGTCTCAGGGTCCTGCGTCCAGCTCATTGCCCTACGTTTCATACACAAGATCCTGTGAGGCTGTGGCTTGAACCTTTAACTGCAGCCTCAGGATCACATCTAAGGGTTTCAGCTGTGTCTTATGGCTTCAAGATATTAAAGATGCTTTTCTGGTTGTCAAAGGTGCTCTCTGGTTTTCTCTTGGTCCCTTGGGAAGAACAGTGACTGTGGTGTTTCAGTCTTCAGTGTTGGCATCAGTCACTACACCTTAATCTAGCTGGGAGGTCCTGGCTATTGCCACAGGGGTAGCCATCAGGTCTTCTAGGCTTTGCCTTCAAAACAGGTAATCACTGTGGCATTTATTAGTCTACCGTGTGACGTCACGGCAGAACCATGATTCAGTGTTCTATAAAGAACAGATTTGCCAGGCGTTGGTGGTGCACCCCTTTAATCCCAGCACTTGGGAGGCAGAGGGAGGCAGATTTCTGGGTTCGAGGCCAGCCTGGTCTACAGAGTGAGTTCCAGGACAGCCCGGGCTACATAGAGAAACCCTGTCTCAAAAAAAAAAAAAAAAAAAAAGAAAAGAAAAAGTCTAAGAACAGATTTGTTCTAGGATTCCCCAGGCTAGAAAGTCCTAGGTCAAGGGTCACATCTGGCTTTTTGCTGCACTGTCTGTGGCAGACAGCAGAAGAGCAAGGGAACGTGTCCAGACACCCGTTACAGTAGTAAGTAATGCAGTAATAGCCCATGCCTAAGGGCCGAGCTAGCACTCATGACCTACCTTTCGCCTCCACTGCACTGAGGGACTGAGCTTCAGTGCATGACTGTTCTGGTACACATTGCACTTCATGTGAGGTTTTAGGTGTCCATTTTCCCCAGCTTTGGGATCATTCCTGGGTTCCAGCTTGGTGGGGACAAATCAGCAATCCCATACTTAGAACTCTGGGCAACTTTGAGGAAGTCAGTCCCAATGCCAGCAATGTCAGCTGGCACGGAAGAATGAAGAGCACTCAGGTACATCGATATGGGATTTAGGTTAGGGAACTTCTAAAAATGTTAAAATCCTCCAAGCTCAAGTTCCACGAGGCTGGAGGGATAAAGTTATCAACACCATAATCATGTGGCCTCTGAGGGTTCTCCCAGATGAACAAATTCCAAGAGTACAATACTCTTGTCCACAAAAAACACTAATTGAAAATGAACTGGGCAAGGCTCTGACGAGTGAGGTACAGGCCAGCAGCCCCTTATGGTGTACAGAGAGCCGGCAGCCCACACCATCAGATTAAGCAGAGGCACATCCTGAGTCTACTGATAGGCCAAGGCCTGACGGATAGAGCGTTTTCTCAACATGCATGAGGTTCTTGGTTCCAGCCGTAGCAACCGATGGGCCTCAAAGCCAGACCTTAGAGGAGGGTCAGTTCTCCCACTATCACTACTGCAAACCCGGCAGAGATCCCAGCACGACCCAAGCACAAGCTTTCATGTCAGGAGCAATTTATCTTAAGGGTCCAGGGAGCACACTTGAGCCAGGAAATTAGGTGGAGACCTGATTTAGTAAACTCTTGGATTAGGGAAGAGATGGGATCCACAAGGCCTGACCAAGGGCTTGGAAGATTTGTTCCTGAAGGTCAACCTCCTGCAGGAGAAATGTGAGGGAATTCCCAACCAGGCATGCTGTGAGACTGAGAGGACCTCTGAGCCTCTCTAGTGGCTGAAATCGAGGAAATGTGTTACTGTGTGGATCTGGACCGCCCTCAAGGTCTATATGTTAAAAGCTTGGTCCACAGCCTGTAGTGCTATTGGGTGGTAAGGGAAGCCCTTCAGGGTGGAGCCAGTAGGAGTTAGATACCTGGGTATACTCTCGGAAAAGATAATCTGCACCTGGTCCCTTCCTGTCTGCTTCCTGCCACCACAGAGATGAGCAGCCTCCTCTAAGTCACCAAATGTGATGTCCATCCTTACCATAGGCCTCAAGGCAATGGAGCCTAATGAACCATCCATGAAAAAAAGATGTGCTAGGCAGTGGTGGCACATACCTTTAATTCTCAGCACTCGGGAGGCAGAGGCAGGTGGATCTCTGAGTTTGAGGCCAGCCTGGTCTACACAGCAAATTGCAGAACAGCCAGGGCTACAGAGAGAAACCCTGTCTTGAAAGAAAAAGATGGGTTTCCTCTGGCCTCCACTTCCTGAGTGCTGAAGCTACAGGTGTGTATTCCAGTGTCCAGAATAGCTCTTGTCTGGTTGGTTTTTTTAAATAGGATCTCATCACGTACCCCAGGCTGGCCCCAAATTTGAGATCCTCTTTGAGAATCAGAGTTTTGGCATTTTATCTGCTGGCTATGGAAAAAAAGTATGTGTGAACTCTGAAAAGCAGGCCATCACATGTAATCAGTTGTCACTATGACCAAAGTATCTCACAGAAACAACAGAGGGAAGATTTATTTTGATTCGTGGTAAGGAAGCCAGGACAGAGCTCCTGGCAGCATGGGTGTCCTGGTGAAGCTCATAGCACTGTGGATGTCAGGGAGGCTCCTCATACCAGCACAGCGAGGGGCTGAACCCTCATAGCTCCTGTGCCCTTCTTCCTAATTCAGGAATTTATCGAGTCTCACCAACCTGATCCCCACCAACCCCGTGTTCACTTTTGTTCCCCAGCAGTAGGAACCTGTTTTCCATCTTCTGAGCATTGTTTGCCTTGTTTTTGTGACATAATCTTAAATTTTTTGGCCTCAAAATTGCTTTGTTTGTTTTGGCCTTTTAATTCCTGATCTTCCTGCCTCAGCCTGCCAAATAACTTTGAATGAAGGCAAGCACTACACATCACAGATTGTTTCTCTTTCACTTACTAAGACATCACAGTGTCTAGATCAGTGCACAGCGTATACATAGTGCACAAAATATCTGTTAGGTGGAATATTGGATAGATGACTGGACAGATGGAAGAATGGATGGATGCAAAGGTGGGTAGATGGACAGGTGCAAAATATGCTTGGGTGGGTGAACAAATGGGTAAATGGATGGATGAGGGAACAGACAGGTAGATAAATGGGCAAAGGGATGGATGGATGGATAGATGGATGGATGGACAGGTGGACAGGTGGGTTTATGGGTAAGCAAGCAGATGGGTGAGTGGTTCATGCAAGTTACAGGGTGTAAATAAAGAAGGAGGGTCGGGAGAGTTTGGTCTACTAGCTCACACAGACGTAATGCATGTAGTCAAAACACTAAGGCAAAATTAACGTAAAATTTAAAAATTAATTAATTTTAAAAAAGATTACAAAGGATTCACTTCCCAGGTGCTGTGGACAGAAGCCTCCACCCTCAGCAGAGATCAAATACACTCCACAGCAACTTCCTACACTGAGACAGAGACAGAAATATGGGAGACAGGAAGTAAAGTAATGAGGCTTGCTACAGTCACATTAGGAAAGGTGTGGTCACAAGCAGAACTTACTGGAAAGAAAACTTCTCAAAATTCCCGAAGATACTTTGTTGCTAAGGACTCCAGGGAGCCTATAGCTGCAAAGCAAGCCTGGGGTCCCAAACTTGTTTGGGCAGAACTCCAAAAACCTGTGCTCTTAGGGCAGATGTGATCCCAAGGAAAACAAAATGTGGGAGATTCAGGTCCGTCCTCAAAGGGGCCTTTCATGCGCTTGGGATTCTGCCACAGCTGAGGCTTCAGGCATTGTGGGCCCTCCCCTTCACTCTAGTGATATGAACTTAATGGTGCGCATTCCACCCATGCTCCATCCTTTATTTGGATTGGGGGAAATAGCTTGGATTTTACTAGAGAACACAAGACAGAATGTGGGAAGAACAAACTGAGAAGATCTAGAGGGAACATCGCAGGGAGAGAGAACAGGATGTGCAAAGGCCCTGAGACAGAACACACTGTGTGATCTGAAGAATAGAACCAGAGGTGCAGCTGACTAGGGAACTGAGGGGCAGGGGTGAGTAAGGGCTGCACTGGCTTCCTTGAATTTCAACCCTAGAGTAAGAACAATATGCCAGGGATTTCTGAGCAGAGGAAACATGATCCACTTGAGGTTTTAGAAAGTTCTTCTTGCCGGGCAGTGGTGGCACATGCCTTTAATCCCAGCACTTGGGAGGCAGAGGCAGGCGGATTTCTGAGTTCGAGGTCAGCCTGGTCTACAGAGTGAGTTCCAGGACATCCAGGGCTACACAGAGAAACCCTGTCTCGAAAAAAAAAAAAAAAACAAGACAAACAAACAAACAAAAAAAGAAAGTTATTCTTGAGACTAGGAACCGTGGATGAAGGATACACAGGCATCAGGACCTGAGTTTGGATCCTCAGTGTTAGTTTGGAACTAGGGGGTACTCAAGTCACGCCTGCTTGCAGCAACCTGTCTCCTGGAGTTGCTGTAAAGGAAATATCCTGTCTGTGGCCCTCTAACATGCTCTTTAGGTGCCCAGATGCCAGGAGAATGGCAGGTGCCAATCTCATATCTTCAAGGAAGTTTACAAGCTCAGGCTGCTGACACCAGTAGGTCCACAGACGTCCTCCAGGGCAGCACGACTCCTCTCTCATCCTTCCTCCAGGATTTAGATTCCTGACCCTTCCCTTACCCCGAGCATCAGACACAGCCTGACTACAGACCTATGCTGTGACCTACTCATCAACCACATGACATGAAACCTCCCTAGTCTCCTGAGACCTGTGTGAAGGGACCGCCTACTCTGCCTCGTGCTCCCAAACTTGCCTCAGAGTCCTGGCCATGAGGCTATCCATGTGTCTGTCCATGGCATTAGTAACTCGAATAATGAACCTTTTACCTAAATGGGCAGCCTAGCCCAGCCCAGGGTCTTTGTTGAATTCCAAACCAAAACCTTTTATCCAGAACCCACCTTAAAAACCCACAATAGCTCACCAGTTACTGCTCTTCCAGAGGACCCAAATTCAGTTCCCAGGATCCACATCAAGTGGCTCCCGAGCACCTGTTAACTACAGGTCCAGGGGCCTCTGCAGCACCTGTACTAATGTGCACCGGCCCCCACACAGATACAAATCCACTATTAAAAATACATTTTTAAAGCCGGGCGTTGGTGGCGCACGCCTTTAATCCCAGTACTTGGGAGGCAGAAGCAGGTGGATTTCTGAGTTCGAGAGTTCGAGGCTAGCCTGGTCTACAGAGTGAGTTCCAGGACAGCCAGGGCTACACAG